GATACGAACAGGTGGAATTTACGCAGCTCATTTACACACTTTTCCTGAAGATAGAAGAGTTTGTTGAATCTGACGTGACATGTTCGTACGAACCCTTCGTACGAACAAAAGTAAGAGAAATTTAGGATAAGAATACGAACATGTTCTTGCATGAGGCCCAATGATGCTGAAACTGCATCTTGCAAAATCTGCAAACTGGATGTTTCTCATGATGGGAACAGCAGGGCTCACTTTAATACTACYAACCTTGTCACTTGGAAAGAAATAAAAAAATAAAGCTATCGGATTGGTATCAGAAAGATTAATCATTAAATAAATCGGATTGTATCAGGAGCCAAAAMATCTCAATCAGGACATCCCTACTCTCTGCTGAAGGTGGGTGATAATGTTTCTGCTGCTACCACATTACGTCAYGAACAAGTGGACACATTTTAATGAAACTCTCATTAAATGTTCATCCATAACTGATCCAAGATGGCCGCCACAGCCAACTAATCTTAGGAAACACTAAAATGCGTATGATTMAGTTAATTTAACAAATTTTGACCTTAACATTGGTATGTAAGGACTGACACTGACTACCATCAAATAGCAACAGAATGCAGATCTTAGTTAACTGTGAAATTTAAATAATTTGAAGTCTAGGATAATATCTCAAACCACTGTAAGGATTTTAACAAAACATACAAACAATTCATTTTAGGAGCTGACCCAATTTAAGATGTTTGGACAAGACCAATGACAACGGAAAACACAAAAATGGTTGTAAATTTGTCAAATTTGCAGATTTGAGCTAAAGTTTAGCGTTGTTGAAGCTGAAAGTTATTGAGCAAAATCTTTCAGGAAAAAAAACCCATCTGCAGACACATGATGGTGCTGAGCTGCTCTGTTCTGGACATTAATAAGAAACAACACCAGGTTCAGGTAGAAAAGGAAGTCAGTGAAGTGATGTCGTGTGAATCTGCTTCAGCCGTCCGTCTTCTTGCAGCGACGCCKCCTGATCTCATGAGACAAACTACTAACTCACAATGATTCGCTATTTAACATAAAAAAAATCTTTTGGGAACAACATTTTCTTTTTATTTCTGGGAATTGTTTGAAGTCAAGGAAGCATAAGACAACAATTAATTGCCAAAAGTACCAACACAAATAAATAAATAAATAATTAAATAAAAAGTAAAAATCAAAGTGGAAACACACACCGACTGACAGATATGAAAATAGACAACAAATAATTTCGGCAATAAATAAAGACAGAAAAACAACAACCAGAACATACTGTCAAATAAATGAGACATTAAATCAGCTAACTAACAGCAACTAAAAAAGTAAACAGACAAGTTGAACAGAAATGTCACAAAAAAACAAAACAATGAGCAGAAAGAATGTATGAGTAAGGTGCCAGCACAGATCTCCAAATCCACCATCATATCTCTTTATTTGACTTATACTCTTTTTTTTTGTCCAATAAAAAAATAAACAACATGATGAAAGTTATTTCAGAAGAAGRAGGAGGTTTCCTCTCCCAGAACGTCTGAGGAAGGCGAGTCTGTTCAACTGGCTGCTTCAGATGGTCAAATATTCATGCGACTGAAATGAAACGTCATCCAGAGAGACCAAASCTCTAATCTGACAAACCTACTGCACTTCTTAACTCTGGGCCACAACCATTTCTTTTATGTTTTTACAGAAAAAAACAAATCACTTGAATTTTTTCTGTCTGCAAATAGGTAAGGTTATAAAAAGTTTTAAAGGAACTTGTTTTTTTTCCATTGAGCCCAAAAAACAAAAACAAACAAGGCAACTGAAAGACTCATACTTGTTCACACAGCATTGATTCTAACCTGGATATTTAGCCCCTCATTTTAAAATGATGACAGTTTCATTGTTGACTCTTACAACATGTGAGGAAATGTCAAGATAGTAGAACAAATAAAGGACTCGAAGGCAAAGAAAAGCAGTATCAGAAGTTTTGAATGGTTTGTTCAGGGGAAATAAAGCATGGTACTTTTATTGGCCAGGTTGTGATTTACTTTTCCATCATCTATCATTTGTATGCCTGCTGAGCACTGTCCAGTTTAGTCAACCCTGATGGTTGACTACATACTTTAAAAAAACGTAAGTTCAATAAATAAAAATAAATTGGTAAATGAGTAAATAAAAAAAATACAGAAATAGACAGCTCCTAACACACATACCTCATGTACTTCCGCTGAAAGCTACATTTAATGAACTGTTTTTATTTTTTTTTAGCAAAAAACCATGTTTTGACTTCCAACTTTTCCCCGACAATCAGTCTCTTGAGGTCCCTCGCTTACACAGATGCCAGCACCACATCACATACACCTCACATGCATGCTCAGAATGGCCAAAATGACAGTGATCATATCTTACAGGGTTCAATGGACAGGTCATCAGAACTCCAAGGATTACACACCTCTTCACAGTCACTTGGGGGTCATGTGGGGTGTTCAGAGTTAGAAGTCACACTGTCAAATGTCTCCAGCAGGGACATTGTAAAATTGTCCCAATGAAGTTGTACTGCATTGTCACTTTTTAATGCTTACAATAGTAAGTGGGCTTCTATAAGCCAAAGTTCCTTTGTAAATGATTCACCGACATTGAGTCTTGAGTTCTCACAAGATTTATAGTTCTTTTTAAATCACAGTTGCCAATATGGTACTGTCAAAATGTCTATAACTTTGCTCCAAAAAGTTTATTTATATGTTGTGAAWTGATTTGTTTTCTATACATAGTATTCCTTGTCCTTGTCTTTCGGTCTCTTGCTACTGGCACTACCTTTGGCGCTACCGCTGGGTGTTTTATCCTTCACCACGGCGCCATTGGTTTGTGCCGAGTTGCTGATGTAGTTGCGTGTCTCATCCACCTGGTAGGAACCCTCATCCCTGTTCCTGTACTTGTACATGGCATAGAGGAGAATGAGGATGCAGAGGGCCGCAGCTGAGACAATGCCCACCACCATGCCCGTCGTACTGCTGGATTCCCGGATCACCTCCGAGACCCCCGGGGGCACGCGCCTCACCACGCCGGGTATCGTAGGCAAGGCAGCAGGGACCGTGCGCAGCATGGGTGAGGTGATGAAGGGGCCCCTCGGCTTGGTGCCGTCCACATCAAAGGATGTGGGCAGGGGCAGCAGGACGATTTCCGGCTGCAGGGGTTTGACCTCACGATTGTTCATTTTCCCTGCAGGCAGCTTAGGTGGCGTATCCGAGGGGACCGCCGCCGGCGGTGTGCCTCGAATGTCAGGCAGAGGCAAGGTGGGTATAGTCCTACCTGCCTCTGAGGCCTTACTAGGCCTCAAGTCCTTGGCTTCCCACTTGGGCGCGAGAACTTTGTAGCCACCTTCATAGGCCGATGTGGTCAAGGTCTTATCTGTTACCAGGGAGAAGGTGGTGTAAAAATCTTCATCGTCAGTCGGGGACAGGCTAGAGTCGAAAGCTTCACCAGAGCCAAACCCCGAAATCACCATGCCATCATCATCATCACCATCATCATCATCATCATCATCACCATCATCATCATCATCATCACCATCATCATCATCATCACCATCATCATCATCATCATCATCACCATCATCACCACCATCACCACCATCACAATTATCGTTGCTTCGGTCCGACAAGCAAGGTACCCCCGCCTCAGTGGCCATGGCCAAGGACTCTTTGGTGGTGTCGATAATGGTGAGGACGGGGCGGAGGGTTGGGGGGAAGGGAATGAAGGGTGAACGGGTGGATACAGAAGGGATGTCTATGGGGTCCTCCACTAGAATGGGGATGACTAGCTCCCCTCCTGGAAAGTGAAAGAGACAGAAACAAAAGTCAAGCAGCAGAAAGACCACCACCAAGACAGCAGAAGCAGTCAACCAAGAGAACCAGTAAACAAAGAATGGAAGAAGCAAAGCTCAATATAAAGAGGAAATCAACAGGAAAGGATAAAAAAAGAAAGAACAGAAAGTACTGTAAAAGTGCAAAAACAACAAAACTCAGAACGAAACAAGACCAAAACGAAAAGAAAGCAACAGCCATAAATAAAGTATACATTGCATCAAAAGGCTTTGAGGGATGCACAAGGGTGAGCCACAATAAACTGACACCTCACAGGATTTTGTACCTATCCTACATTCTCAGACAATAACAAGCATTTAAAACGTGATGTGCACTAGTTTTGGTATTATTTTAATATGTAGTCCTTTATTTAGTTCCTGCTACTGATTCTGTATAGATCTCAAGATAAATTAGGCTTTAATGAGCCTTTTTTTTGAGAAAATCCTTTTTTAAATAATTCATACAGAAACAGCAGGCAGCCTAAGTTGGATGAAAATCTGAAGATATTAACATTTGTATGCAGTTCAAACACAAGGCCATTTGGTCTGAAAGCACTGAGTTTGAAATGAGGAACAATTAGTTTCAGACTGTGGCTGCTCAGACAGGTACTTTTTAACTCATCTGACCTGCATGTGCCAACAAATACAAACAGCTATTGCAATGGAAATGCTCAAATACCATATCTCACTAGTGTGTATCTGCTTTACATTTCTATGGCATACTAAGATACTGTAAGAAAATAGAATAACAGAATTGCCTTATTATGTATCTGATACTCCAGTTTATATACCRTGATCGCTTGCAAGAACTGACTGCCATGCAACAGGTCATGTCGAAAAATTTCTTATGACTTTAGCAACTTTGAAATGTCAAATATTCCTCATATATACACCTCAACAAGCTGTCGTAATGTATTAAGACATCTATACAAGGGTTAATTTGAACTGTACTTGAAGACAAGGAGAATAAAAGACAAAAGATCAGACAGAGAAAAGCCAAAGTAGAGCAGGAGTGTAAGCATCTACGTAGCCACAATCTAGGTGCTGACAGGAGACTACAATGTGCCTATTGTCACAGGATCATTGGAAATTTGAGAGGACAGTGTTGGTGCACAACAAAAGGTCACACCAACAAGATCAACGTATGCCATTCTTACATGACATCATGCTGTAATTTCCCTTTCCTTCAATCCATTACGAACACAACAAATGTGATTGAAACACATTGTGAACATACGTCGCAAGACTTCAGTTTTAAAGGGATCCGTGACTAGTTTTAACATTAGACTTCATTTGATAAAAATTAATTTTAACTGTAAAATAAAGACTGTAAAAATACCGTAGGCTGTTCAGTTTTGTAAATTTTTTAAAATATATTTTAACACGGGCAAAGCCATTTTGTTTACATACAAAGCATTCTGGGTAAATGATGAGTGGATAGGTCCTCGTGTGAACGAGCTATATCCACCCTAAAGGTTAATCTTGGACAATATCTGACGATCGGCTTTTTTAAATGAAACCAGAGAGCGTTGACAGAGAGGAGAAGGTAGAAATGACTCAGCCTGTAACTGAAAATATGGATGGAGGACAACAGAGCTGCTTCATGGAAGAAGAACCTCAGCTTAGCCTGTTAGCCTTTGAGCTAGCGCAGATGCTATATTGCCTTATATGTATTAGCTCAACGCTAGCGCGACAAACAAGCTAAACTGAGGTCCTCCATCCATATTTTCAGTTGCAGGCTGAGTCATTTTTGTGTTCCCCTCTCTGTCATGTAGATGGAGGACCTCAGTGACGAAAATGTGTAGCGCTGAGCTAATACATGTATATATGGTGATAGCGTCGGTGCTAAAGCTAAAGCTAACAGGCTGAGGTTCTTCATCCATGAAGCAGCTCTGTTGTCCTCCATCTATATTTTCAGTTACAGGCTGAGTCATTTCTACCTTCTCTCTGTCAAYGCTCTCTGGTTTCATTTAAAAGAGTCGATCTTCAGATATTGTCCAAGATTAACCTTCAGGGTGGATATAGCTCGCTAGCAGCCTCGCACCGATGACCTAATTGATGTCATCATTTACCCAGAATGCTTTGCGTGTAAATAAAATGGCCCCATCCGCGTAATATATTTTAAAACTTTTAGTTTAAATATTAAAAAAACTAAACTGCCTACAGTATTTTTACAGTCTTTATTTTACAGTTAAAAGATATGTTTATCAAATAAAGTCTAATGTTACAACTAATCGGGGATCCCTTTAAGAACAAACACTTCGTTTCTACATGTTTTGACTCACTTAACATAATTCAACATATCTGATGAAAATACAAAAACAAGTATATTGCACATGTCCACTTGACTGAACGAACGTTTTCCCCTCAGCATTACTGGGCTCCCCTATTTGCCCTAACCTCTTGCCTTTTGACCCTACAGTTACCACAGTGGCACAAAGTCGCTGGGCAGTTCAGTGACACCTGAATGTTTGCTGACTTGAGCCAAAGCCTTGATTTTAGAAGCTCTTTTAGCCTGAAACAAACAAAAATTTGTTTTTATATTAAATACACCAACTTTGTTTTCGAGTTAAACCTGTGGATGGACAACTAGAGTCTGAAACGTTCAGATGTCTGTTGAAGCTGCTCTTTCTTAGGCCAAAGTRGCTCGTTTTTTTTAAAGTTATTAACTTTCTTTTAACATTGCGAAGGCTCACAAACAGGGCACTATAAAGAGATGCAAACCTTTTGGAACAAAAAATAAAAACAAAACAATGTAAATGAGGAAAACAACCAACCAAAAAAGATTAAAAAAGAAACAAATAAAAGCATTGCAAAAAGACCTTAGAGTTAGAGCAAACATTGTGATAAAACATTCACAACAGAAAGCAACGGACAGTTATCCAGAAACAAAGGATTAGTAGGAAGTAAGTAGAAAAACAGGTAAAAACAAAAGTCAGCTCAGAAAATCATAAAAGCCTACAAAAGAACCTAAAAAAACAACCAACCAAACAAAACAAAACAAAAARGCAATTTCAAAAGGAAGAAAGCATACCATCAGTTTGTCAACTTACATCAACAAATTGCCCGCATGATTTTGGCAGGAAGAAAACAAATTTACAAAAGAAAGTTGTGTAAGAATGCCTTTGGACAGATTAGACTCTATTTAACAGTTTCTGATTGAGTAGTATATATATATGTATATTTATATATTTTCTATTTTTAGACAGGATGGTATAGGGAGGCAACAACACATACATCCACACATCATGACATGAAAACAATCCTCACCATTCTGTTCAAGATATCTTCTTTTTTCTTTTTCGTTTAAACGTCATTTTGTTTTATATATATTTATTTAAAAAAAGGAAATATGTACATCTACTACTTGGATGAATACATTTCCATAAATGTCTACAGCCRGAATCAATCTTTCGACTTTAGCTCAACATTAACTTGTTCATCAGTCATGAACAAACAGTACTGTACAAATCTTTGAGTGTCTAAAAGGTTTTAGGAGGAAGGAGTGTGGGACGGGGGGTGGGACCTATGAACATACTAGGAAGGAAATGACATAAATGGAGGTGAATGTGTACATCAGTTGCCATGTCCATGTAAAGGCGGCACGAAGCGGTCGGGCGGCATTAGAGCTTTTGGCTGTAAGGAAGGGATGGGGATATACAAACAATGAGCATATACATGCCCATCTACAAAAGAGAACAGCACTCTGAACACTGACAACTTTTACAAACCCTAAGCTGCAACTTCTTTGCCATGCACAAAAAAAAGACAGACTAATTTGATCCAAATTTTAATAAAAAGAGAGCTATTCAAGAAAAGGTGAGGAGTAAAGACCAGCATAAAAAAATACAATAGTGGTTGGTGGGGAGGGGTCTACTTTGGAGGGGCGGTTCGTCTCTTTTTTCTCTATGAAAACATTACATTGAAACTGCATCATTTTGATACCTGGTTTAAAACCAAAAAACACGTTTGTGAAATGGGAATGAAATCATAGAGAAAATAGAAAAACTCACCAAAGCTATGGCAATACAGATTCAGAACAATTTAGTAGAATTTTTTTAAATATATTGGACATTTTCAGAAAAAAAATAAACATATTCACATATATGTGTGTTAACATATATGCACAAATTAAATCACATTAGCAAGCAAGAAAAAAAAACAAGAAAGGCATTAAATTTCTCATACTATCAGAGATGAACAACCAGAAAGCACACACTGAGGCAGACAAAGAGAAGGTGGGGGACAGTTTAGAGGCAAAGTGTCACCACCTTTGGCGTAACTAATAACAACAACCTCTTTATTATTAGTTACTTTAATACATTTCTCTTGTTAGTAACTTAAAGCACAAGACAGGGCGTGCAATCTGGATGTATGTTAAAAAAAAATCAACATTTTTTTTTCTTTCTTTGGATTTGAGTTCCACCGGAAGAAGTTGGGTTAATGCATGCTTCAGTAAGTTGCATTTAGGGAGAGTAAGATACAAAAAAACAATACAGCAAGCCAGGGGACAGGTGAGGAGGAGAGAATGGGGGGGGGGGGGTAAACAAGGGGTCTATGGGCAATAAAAGGCACCGCCACCAAGGGCTGTGGGATATTTTCCTCAAGCAAACCATTCATTAGCATCTAACAGGAAACAAGGTGCACCATGGGTGATGTATAACCAACATTAAATGGCATTTAAGCCCAACACATTCACTAATTAATCAAAAGGTGGAGTAAATGATAATTAACTAGCTTTTTATTCCAAACTGTATAGATGCTTTGTGTTAYGTGCATAACCAACAGCCTTTGTTTCAACAAATACACATCTGGAGTTCCACAAGAGGGTGCAGGGTGGAGAGCTTATTTATACCTCTGGAGAATTTAAAGAGATGTGCACAGTTATCTTTAGATACCAGGTTTTGGTTTCTCATTTGCAGGCTGATAATAAACCCTACCCTGATCATTTAGCAAACCAGACCTG